TTGAGCACCTAGTTCTCCCCCACCTCAAGACCCTCACAGCCCCCCCTCCTGGACCCCCTGCAGTTTGCATACAGAGCAAACAGGTCTGTAGATGACGCAATCAACATGGCTCTACAATTCATCCTGCAGCATCTGGACTCCCCAGGTACCTACGCCAGGATATTGTTCGTGGACTTCAGCTCTGCATTCGACACAATCCTGCCAGACCTCCTCCAAGACAAAATGTCCCAGATGAATGTGCCTGACCCCATCTGCAGGTGGATCACTGACTTCCTGACAGACAGGAAACAACAAGTCAGGCTGGGGAAGAATGTCTCGGACCAACGGACCATCAGCACCGGCTCACCACAGGGCTGTGTTCTTGTCCCTCTGCTCTTCTCCCTGTGCACCAACAGCTGCACCTCCAAGCACGAGTCTGTCAAACTAATTAAGTTTGCTGACGACACCACCATCATCAGACTCATCTCTAATGGGGATGAGTCCGCTTACAGAATGGAGGCTGAGCGGCTGGTGTCCTGGTGCAGCCACAACATCCTGGTGCTAAACACCCAGAAGACAGCGGAGGTTGTTGTGGACTTTAGGAAACACACACACACCCCATCGCCCCCTTAAACCTGTCTGACACTCCCATCACGATGGTGGACTCATGTCGCTTCCTGGGCACCACCATCACCCAGGACCTCAAATGGGAGCCCACCATCACCACCATTAGAAAAAAGGCCCAGCACTTCCTGAGGCAGTTGAAGAAATTCAACCTATCACCACAGTCGATGAGGCATTTCTACACCGCTATCATCAAGTCCACCCTCACCTCCTCCATCACCGTGTGGTACGCTGGAGCTACCACCAGGGACAAGAAGAGGCTGCAGCGTGTCGTGCGCTCTGCAGAGAAGGTCATTGGCTGCAAACTCCCCTCCACTCAAGATCTGCACACCTCTAGGACATTGAGGCGTGCAGGTCGGATAATAGCTGACTCGTGTCACCCTGGACACAGTCTCTTCGACTCGCTCCCATCTGGCAGAAGGCTCAGATCCATTCGGACCAGAACCTCTCGCCACAAAAACAGTTTCTTCCCCTCTGCAGTTGGACTTTTGAATGAACATCCTAGGGCAGCCCACTCAAGTTGATTGGTCCCAGTCACATGACCCGATGCTGTGCTTGAAACATTCAACAAAATACTCAGATAAATACCTACACGGAGTAGATAGCTGCTTCTCTAATTCTTGCCACTTTTTACATTAATAATTTTATCATGAGTGTTTTATTAGTTCTTATATTTGCTTATCTCTTAATTAATTTTTTTTCTATCTTACCTTCTGCACCAAAATACCGCAGCAATTTCCTAATGTTGTGACTTGGCACACATATGGCAATAAAAACTTCTGATTCTGTTTAAGTGTATTAAAAGCCTAAAATTCTGTATAATTAATGAGCATCAGACCCACGTGACCACAGAGCTAGCTCCGTGGAAAGGCCTCAGTAGAGCCTCGGTCTGGCCTGGAAACTGCTCCGGGATTTTGAGTCTCTGTGTGTGTGTATTCTTGTTTGGATATTTTTGTGCAATTGTTGGACAAAATGACTTGCTGTGGCATTAATTGCACTAATAGAGCGTCCAAGGAGTCTCCACTTCATTTTTTTCGGTAAGTAAAATTATATTTATGTATTTTAGGTCACTGCCGAGCTGAGCTTAGATTTTAACATGTACTGTTTAACAATGAAATTTAAATGTAATAGGGTAAAACCCAGTGCATTTAACATAATGCTGCACTTTAGAAAATGGGTTGAAATATAACATGTTGGTGGAGCTGGGTTCCCACTATCGGCTAGTGGAGCTCTCGGGAGACCGATGTTTTCCACCCGGTTTTACCCAGCGGTCAGCCCGGCGTATCTCTGACTCAGAAGCTCTGGTGTTGTGCACAGTTAACTCCGGTTGTAGCTAGGTTGCTACCTCCGTTAGCTTAGCTCCCACCTCCATGTTAGCTTTGGGTTAGCTTCAGGTTAGCTTGTAGCTAGTTCGACCGGGTGTCGTCAGTTGATCCCAGCCTTACAGCCCCACCCTCAGCTCCTCCTCTCTTCCCTTTTGTGGAATGGTCTGGGCTTGACGGAACCTGTGACACGGTCAAAATGGCTGTGGTGGCCACCTCCCATTTATCTTCAAAAACGTGTTCATGGAGCCTATGGAAACCCATTGTCCAATATTTATATGTTGATGTTCCTTACAGGAAGTACTGGTTACACAGTTGTAACTAGGGATGGGTACCAACTTTTTAAGGCACCGACCGAATTCCATAGTACCGACTGAGTACCGACTCACACCTTACGAAACAGTGCCGTCCTTCACAAAGAGAACTTGCGAGACAGCGATTTGCCAACATAGACAGCAGCGCCGGTGCAAGAGCATCAGTGGCTGCGAAGCGAGACGTAAACAGAGCAAGCAGCATGGCAGAGGAAGTGCTCTAAAGTGTCTGGGTCCACCTCACTAAATGGGATGGGTAACTGGGGGATGATGAAACCACCAACAATGACCTAAGTGAGGCATCGTCTTAATCTGCTCCAGCAGAAAAATTAACTGTACAAGATAACGTTAGCTTGTCCTTCGCTGGCTCCGCAGCTGCCACAGCACATGGGTACCGCTCTACAGTTAGGGATGGTTGTGGCTAAAAAACTCAATCTTCTGAAATGGAAATCTACAACCCCACCTTCCTTTGGACGTTGGCTCACAGAGATGCTACATGTCATTCAACTGGAGTTGCTACATCCACACAAGACTGGCTCTCGCAGCAAGCTTGAGGAGGGCTGGAGACCTTTCCTAACCCACTACAAGGTTATCTAGCTGGTTTGGATTAATGACTGGTGCTGAAACATACCTAATGTAATGTTGCTCTATCATCTGTAAATGTGCTTAATAGTAACGGTTTTATTTACCTTTCTGTTTACAATGTCATCTGGCAGCCCCCCCCCCCCCCCCCATTTTTTTTCTTTTTCTTCTTTTAGTCACATCAAGTTGTTTAAACACGCCAACATTCTAGAGAAATACGATTATCTTCCAGGAGACAATGGCACCCAGTCCCTTTTCCTTTCTATCCCAATTAAGCCGAGCTGCTGCTGTCCACCTCCTGTCCCGTCTGTGACGAGGCTGAATTAGCTTCTGATTCAGGAAACGGCTAAAAGGCAATTAAACCCACTTTTTCTCTACTCTGACCCTCTTTAATCTGCTCTAGCTCAAAAACTACAACACCCTTGCACCTGCACCACTAGCAGCACAACTAACACCAACTCTAAGATTCCTGAAAGCTTTACATAAAAGGTCCTTTAATACGTTTTCGTGGTACCTGCTTTCACAGACCTGCTTCAAATAGGACAAATATTTCATTCAGAGACTTTCAAAGCAATTTTTGGGACGTAACACTTACGTAGCTCGTGTATCTAACGAGGTTTGCTTAGATTCGTTATCCCGCGTGCACTAGGGGCACTGCGTTCAGAGAGATTCAACGAAACAGCTCACTCTAAATCCATATAACGCGATAGTCGCTGTATGTCTCGAAGAAATGAAATACTAAAACCCGAACTGGTAAAGCGACCCTGTGTTTCACTTTCTTGATCCGATAATAAAATGTTAAGTGTGAAAAATGCCCGGAACCAAGAGCCTAACCGTTTAAAAACACTCATTAAGATCAGGATTAAACGGAGCTATGAAGCTAAGAAATGCTGCAAATGGACAGGTTTTTTCTGTTTTAACTTTTCTCTGTTCGTTTTGTAATTTCATGCAAAATGTGAGAAAAAAAAGAAAACTCAGTAATGTGCATTCACAACATAACTTCACTGTCAAACTAATTCCATGCTTTTGTTCTTTTTAAACACAGAAACGGTTTTGTTTACCTGTTTTGTAGCTACAGTTTCGCTGTCGGCAAAAGCAAGGAATTAGAACACGACACAGCAAGAACACACCTAAGATGTTCACTGTCAAACATCAATGTTTTGTTCATCCAGTCATTTTGACCAATCGTGGACTATTTTAACTCTGTTTATGTAATCTGCTAGTAGTCCAGAATAATCTAGTACAGGTCTGAAGAGTGCAGGTGTTGTAGATTTTGAGCTAGAGCAGATTAAAGATGGTCAGAGTAGAGAAAATGCGGATGTAGGACAGCTTTATTAGATGTCCGACGCAAAGGCGACTCAGTGTAGTTTAACCATTTCCCGAGCCTCTGCTGGGGACCTGCAGCTCCAGCGGCTTTGCTTCAGACACCCACTGATGGGAGGGGCTATGTCGGTGAAGAGACCGAAGTGCCCTTCAAAATAAAAGCGCACAAGTAAAATATGTCAACATCCATTCTATTCTCTTTGTTACTGGGGTGAAAAGGTGTGTTTTCCAATATTAGGCGAAACTAGTCCCACTGTCTCCCTGGTTGCTATGCACTTAGTTATATCTGATAAATCAGAAATTTGAAGGCAGCTTTTTGTCCAACTTTAGGCTGCTGGCATGGGCCCAATAGTGGGCGTGGGTCCCTGGGCCTGTGCCCAGTTTGCCCATTGGATAATCCAGCCTTGCCTCAGTACCGCTGTTTTCGGTTCACCAGGCAACGTTTCCTAACAGGAAGTGTGGATGAAATAACAAGAACCAAGTAAGGCATGTCGACAAAATACATGAAATGAACGAACTTTTAAAAGACTTTTCTAGCACCTTTCTGAGTGCTCCAAAGTGCTTTACACTACATTGAATCATTCATCCGTTCACACACTGGTGGTGATGAGCTACACTGTAGCCAACGACTGCTGGAGTTAGGCGCCAGCTCAGCTGCCTGTGAAACATGAGGTATAGAAATAAACGAGTGCGAGAATGTCCTCGAGTCCAGCGACACGTGTCAGTGGCAAGGCAGCAAACACAAGCCTACTGCTTTCTGTCACCAAACTACAACTCCTCAAGAGCACCTACCCAGCATGCCATGCTGCCTCAGGTGTTGCTGTTAACCGGATGGATATACCCTAAACCTGATACTTACAAACACTGCTGCCTTCAGCATGTCAGGCACAACCACAGGAACGAAGCCCTGCAGGAGCAGAGAAAGACTCCTCAGCATATGAAAAGATGCAGAAATCATGTCCAGCTTATCCCAACACCAAAGTACCCGCTGCTGGAGAATGTCGAGTGCAAAGTTTTGGAGCGCAGTTTGAAGTCTGGCCCCCATTCCCCAGAGATAGTACGAACGGTGGCCCGTAACGTGGGACAGATGCCTGCAGCAGAGAATCGGTAGCGTACAGGAATGAGCTGGTACACAGATCTACTACACCCGGGGACTGGAGTACAACTCACCTCTGCCTGATGACACCCAACTCCTCCCCTAGCTCCACGTGACTTCTGGGCTTAAAGTCAAACTCTGGAGGTAAGATGGGACACATTTTTAGAATCAAGCAGGTAAATGATTTAGTTCACACGTTACCTCACATCAGTCACCTGGTTTCTGTCCAACTATCTCCAACACTCTCGCCTGGCTCTCATCTCCCACCGGCTACAATCAGAGGAGAGAAACTCAACCCAGAGCAACCGCAGACAATCTTGTGAGAAATGTTGGTTTCTCACCACATCAGGGTGCGTGGAGTTGGGCAGCCTGAGCGCTCGGCTGTAGTGTTCCTCATCCAGACCGGTCTCTGTGAGGTAGAGCTGGTTCAGCCGGTGCCGGATCTCCCGTCCTCGCTGCAGACACTGGGTGTACTCTGGAAGCTGCAGGGTTAAAGAACTCAGACACGCGACCTACAGAAGCACTATGACGTCACTACTGAAATGCTGCTGTGAGTTCACTTACATCAGCCACAGTCTTCTTGTCATGCTGGCTCTTTGAGGTAAAACATGACATTTACACTTTTATTCCCAGTCTGACCACAACAGAAGTCAGAGAAAAGACTGTGATGTTGGTCCGTGAGGACTGGAATAACTCACCACCAGCTCTCTGACGGTCTGGCTGATGCTCCTCTTCTCCTGCTCCAGCTCAGAGATTTCCTTCTTCACTGCTTGGAGCTGCTGCCACACAGCCACCTAAACAGCAAGCTCGTTTAAGGAAACGTTCAGTAAAAACGGATTAAGACCCGGGCGGTACTTCCAGCTTACAATCTTTCCGACGTCGTCCCCTCGCAGCTCGCCCTTCCTGCTCTCGACATTAGCGATGACTTTGTGAGTCTCCTCGCAGACCGCTCTCATGTCCAGCTCGGGCTTGTCGCTGTAGCCTTCACGGACATGCTCGTACAAACTGCTCCGGACTCCGTGTGTGGAGCGTTGCGGATTAAAGGGGCCAGGCCGCCGCCTCGACAACGGTCTGCTTACCGGCAGCAGCCCCCTGACTGCTGCACCTCCGGTCCTCACAACCACGCTCAGGCGGGCCGCCATGTTTGTGGACAGGGAGGTGATGCGTTCACTGAAAACAGGAATAATCGCGGCGTAACCGTTGCTGCCTGTTTATTGTGACGCTTGACTTGATAATACTTGTGTGTCTAATTTCAGATCTACTAATGAAGTTACGACGAGTAATCCGAATAGCTCATTTCATGTTATTAGCATTTATTCGTTTCAGTTATCCTCAAATTTCTGACTCGAGTTCGCACCTATAGACTTTGAACACCACGTGAATGCGGAAGTAAGGAAACATGATTGATTTATTAAATAAAGCACCACAGACTTTTGATTTTTGACTCAGATTGAAGAAATTCGACATTAGTTCAGAAAACGTTAAAGCAATTCACGAATGGGTCACTTTTTGCGCTTTTCTGAATAAAAACGAATCAGACCCAAACAATGTTAGAGAGAAAAATCAACCAATCAGATGACCGGAAGTTTAATGTTGAGGTAATCCGGTTCAGACGTGACAAGTGCGGCCGTCTCGAGCTCAAAGTGCTCGCTTCTGGCTAGCACAACTGCGCTTTTCACGTTTCATGGCCCAGCCGGATGTGTGAGGCTGCTGCAGGCATGTGTCACCGAGAGGTGCGTTCTCACCGGCGGAGAGCTGCTGCCCTGATCCGTCAGTCGGCGATGGAGGAGCAGCGGTAGCCTGAGGACGCTGCTTCACAACAGGCCGGGAGACGCGGTACGGACCGGGACTACCAGATGACTCCAGGTGTCCGTCAACTGAGCGGTTACGTGAATTGAATCAGGCCAAACCGTGATTCTTACCGAGAGTGGCACGTAACAGACTCACGGTGGAAACTAGAAGGAGAGCGAAGGTAAAGAGCTACATTCAGCAGCTGCAACGCTATTAGCAGCTGCTTAGCAGCAGTTTGTGTTCTCAGCGATGCGTTAATAGTAAAGCCTTGTAGTCCTGTGTGTGTGTGTGTGTGTGTGTGTGTGTGTGTGTGTGTGTGTGTGTGTGTGTGTGTGTGTGTGTGTGTGTGTGTGTGTGTGTGTGTGTGTGTGTGTGTGTGTGTGTGTGTGTGTGTCATCTGCTCCTCAGATGAATGCTGTGCGGAGGGGCACAGTCACCTGGCGCCCCCAGCCCTGGCAGGACAGGGACATAGGGTTAATAGAGCCGCTGTCTGACAGCGACTCAGAGGAGGAGGACTTCCCAGACGACAGCACCACCCCGCTGGGGGACTACATCACTCACGGTGAGGCTGTCTCATGGTCTGTGTTGGGTCTCTGCTGTCCAACCTGTCTCACTTTGGTCCCCCACTCCCCCCAGGGCTGAAGCAGCTCCTTGACGCCCAGCAGCTGTGTGATGTGACTTTGCTTGTTGAGGGAAAGAAGTTCATGTGTCACAGGTACCCTTACAACATACGCCCGAGTTATGACTGAGCTACAAAATGATTACTTGATCACACTTTAATCCCCTCCCCAGAGTGCTCTTGGCAGCTGTGAGTCCCTACTTTCGGGCAATGTTCACCAGTCCTCTGGTGGAGTCTCGCCTCACTGAGATCCGTCTAGAAGAGGTGACGCCGTCTGTCATGGAAACCGTCATCCAGTTTGTGTACAGCGGTGAAGCAGGGCTCTCCCTGGACACGGCGGAGGATTTGTTTGTGGCTGCCAACAGACTTCAGGTCATGCCTCTTCAAGACCTGTGCTCCAGGTAGAAAAAGGTGGTGCATTTATAGGCCTGTTCCAACGGCACCACTCAGCCTAAAACAGCTCGGTACAGCATGGGTTACCTCAGCTCACCTCGGACTAGTTGGCTGTCCCTGTCAGCTCTGAGACAAAAAGTGGATAAGCCCCTCATAGCACGGAGGGGTGGGGGATGGGGGCATGATCTTCACCTGAGACAAAATAACACCAGCTGATCAGTAAACGGTGTGAGGTGTGGGGATGGGTACCCCATTCAGTACTCCTTAAGGCACCGACCGAGGACCGATTCACGTTGTATGAAATGGTGCCTTGTTTCAGTACCATAGAGTTCAGTACCTGATTTCCCAAGATAGAGTGCAGTGCACGTGCAAGAGCGTTATGTCGTCCGTCGCTGCAGGCCAGCTGTAAGCGGAGCAAGCAGCGCGGTAGAAAGGGCTCTGAAGTTTGGGTCCACTTCACTAAAGGAGATGGCTGACTGGGGGATGATGATAACATTGACAACGTTGTAAGTGAAGCATCATCTTCTTAATCTGTTCCAGCAGATAAACGGTTTAAGATAACGTTAGCTTGATGCTTTAGCTTCTGCAGCTAACGGTATGTTCGATTTCTCCTCGGTACTCAAATATTCCGACTTCCGAGTAGGAAAAATAAACAGTTTGCAAAAGGAATGAAGATAAACAGTAAATGTAGTTCACAGCAAAGATGTTTGCTTCAGTGTAATTTTCAGCTTGTAAAACTACAAGAACCGCCATCGCCGTTTGTCCAGCGGGGAAAGGAGAGGAGTAGGAGTACATGGAGCTGGGTTTGGCATCATTTAGAAACAGTTGTTGATGGTTTCATGTTGAAGAATTTTGTACAACACTCCGATGATAAAATACAACAGCTGTAAGTTATTTGTCAAATATAGTTATAGATTGAGAATATGTATAATGTAGGTGTGTATGCTATTAAAACAGGATTAGTTGATTATCAAACACTCAAAGTGTCTAAAATTGGTATGGCTATGTACCGGTATTTATTCCTAGGTACTAGGGGTTGTATCAACTAGTCGACTTCACGGCTCTGTAGTGACTTTTTATGACTTTCATCGACTAGTCTCTGTCACGTGATAATGCCCGACAAGATGCAGTCCTCAGAAAAGACAGCAGGTGACGAGCCCCTGTGCGTTGGGAGTAGGGCTGGGCGATATGGCAAAAATAGAATATCACGATTTTTCCAATATTTTATCACGATTTCGATTTTATCACGATTTTTTATCCATGAATAGCATAACTTCAATTGCGTATTAAAGAAGAGAAACATTGAATAAATAAACATTTATTCATATTAGGGATAATCAACACAGTGCTAACACACTTATATTTTAAACCCACACCAGAGATGATAAAAGCCCTGAGAGAAACAACTACAAAAATCAGTTTTTCTCGTTTTTCAAGTAACTTAACATAAATTAAAATCGTAAACATATTTAAAGTGCAAACATGTCGATTGCAAACGTATTGTGCAAACATTAACTTGTTCAAAATACTATGTAGCTCCCAGTTGCTCATGTAGTGGATAGTTAAGCTCAAATACGGCTCTGATGTGCGGCTGGACCAGAGATCGCTTGTGGTAGCACATAACTGCGTATTCTGAATATTTTCTACAACTCTCACTTTGCATTGAGTGTACATGCGTGGAATGGCGGTGGTCGAAAAATACTTGCGGTTGGAAAACTCGTAGCGCGGATCCAATGTTTTTATCATTTTCTTAAATCCCACTCCTACTGTTCGCACGGGACACAAATCTTTAACCAAGTGGTACGTCACTGCATCTGTCACGCTGTTCCTTCGTCTGCTGTCTCTGTCGTAAGGAGTGAGTTTTGTCAGTGTTTCTGTTAGCGTTTGCTGCCTGGAAGAAGCACTAGCCGCTGCCGTTGTAGCCGCGGGCGTTTTAGCTGTAGCTGCCAGCTGGCTGTCATTGTATTGTTTGGGATGCCTTCTTTTCAAGTGATTGAACAAGTTTGTGGTGTTGCCATCACTTGCCTTGACGCTCTCCTTGCAAACTTTGCAAATGACGTTTCGCTGCTTTTTGTCATCTGGTGAAAAACCAAACCAGTTCCATATAATGGATAGGGATGGGTACCTTTGACATTTGAATTGATCCGGTACTAATTCCCGGTACCTACGAATCGATACCGGTACTTAACGGTACCAATTTGATACTTTTGAGTGTTTCACATTTTAATTCTCTTTTATAATTAAATATATATTTTTCTCAATATATAACAATATTTGATAAATATCACGATTAATAACATACAACTGTTTGTATTTTAACATCGTCCTTGTAGTTTTATAAGCTGATAATTAAACTGAAGCAAACATCTTTACTGTGAACTAAATTTACTGTGTATATTCATTCCTTTGGCCGTCTTTGTTCATTTGATTTTTCCTACTGGGAAGTTAGAATTTCCGAGGAGAAAGCGAACGCACCATTAGCCGATAACAACGGTGGCAATGGAAGCTAACATATCAAGCTAACGTTATCTTAAACAGTTTATTTAGCTGCTGGAGCAGATTAAAACGATGATGCCTCACACTTAGATCGTTGTCGCTGGTTTCTTCTTCACCCAATCACCCGTCGCTTTTAGTAAAGTGAAGCCAAACTTTAGAGCACGTTCATGTTCATCTAGTCGGACATTCGGAGTTCCGAGGAGAAAGCGAACGCACCATTAGCGAAACGGAAGCTAACATATCAAGCTAACGTTATCTTAAACATTTTATTTACCTACCGGAGCAGATTAAGATGAGGATGTCTCACTTAGATCGTTGTCTGTCGCTGGTTTCATCATCACCCAGTTACCCATCACATTTAGTGAAGTGGACCCAAGCTTTAGCGTGCGTTCTTTCTACCATGCTGCTCTGTTTACAACTGGCTCGCAGGGACCGACGACATAACGCTCTTGCGCAGCTTTCTTGGCAAGTTCTCGGACGGGTACCGAAACGAGGCACCATTTGAAATGACGTGAATCGGTGCTCGGTCGGTACTATGGAAAAGGTGTTCCTCTTCGGAACGAAAACCTCGTTGTTGCTCTCAGCCGCGGCCGAAGCCATGTTTGTTCACACACAGGTGAAAACAAGCGGGGCACTAATATATTACTATGACTCACTCTGATTGGTTAAGGGTCAAACAAAGGCGTGTCATTCGCCTGAGGTAAGTTCCCTTTTCATTCAGAGGCAGAAATTCAACAGCAGAGCTGTGAGTTCATGATAAAAAGGTCTCTCAAAAATGACAGACCGTCAGATGTGTAGATCGTAAAACGGTCTAAAATCGTCATATCGCCCAGCCCTAGTTGGGAGGCAACACGCTGTGCCAGAGCGTCGGTACTGACACCTGCCGTAAAAAGGACATTTGACCGAATTGTGACCTTTACCCTCCTGCAGTTTAACCTTCCCCTCACCCCCATCCTAACCTTAACCAGCTTGCGCATGCAAAGCTCTGATTGTTGACGCGCTCCAGACACCTGCGTCCTGAGCACGGCCACAGTAACATTATCAAATCAGGTGTCGCCACCTCAAAAACTAATTTAACACGCGATCGTTCATGTCGGCTCATTTCCTTTAATGTTTTCTATCTTTTATTCTTTTATTTGTGCCTGATGCGTTTCACTGCTGTGGATCGGGGCGCATCACCTGTTTTGTCCTCCGGTGACGAACTGCGGCCGGCGAGCGCTCCGCTGTTTTTGCAGTCGGTAGATCTTTTAGAACTGCAGTTCAAAGGTAACTCATGAGGTGAATATATATGAACTAGGGCTGAAACGATTCCTCGAGTACCTCGAATAATTCGAGTACAAAAAATCCTCGAGTCAAATTCTCTGCCTCGAGGATTCGTTTAATTCATATTTAATTAATTCGTGGCTTTGCAGTCGCCCGTGGTCATGTTTCACCCGGACTGAAATAAGTGACGCACATGCCCACTGGACTGCGCACGCGAGTAGCGAATGTAACTTAACTTTCTCTTAAGCCATGGCGGACAACGTGGACCCCGGTGGAGTGCGAAAAAGACAGAAAATGTCAAGATGTGGGACCATTTTTCACGTTGTTAGGCGGAAAACGTAGTCCAGTGTAAATACTGTAAAATGGATTTAGCCTAGCACAACACCACATCCTCCATGCTGCTGCAGCGCCTGTAAATGTCACTTCTGCAAGCGGACTCGGAGCCTCTACAAGATAATGCATTTTAGCCTGTATTTCCATATATTCTGCGGACACTGTGCGACTTTTTCGTTTGTAGCACATAGTTTCAGCTCACACCGTACGTCTGGTAGCAACACGTCGGACTTAAAATGTGCTAAAAAAATAGCATTTTTACACAAAACGTCGGACTTTTTATTGTGTTATTGATGTTTGTTGTCCCTCGGGATTGCTGCAGGATTACTGGTATTTATGAGGAAAACGAAAGAAAGTAAATAAATGTTTTGTGATCAGTATAATTTGACAAAACCACAGCAAACATGCTTTCTCGACAATCCTTGTTATTGTGTGAGTAAAAACGTGTTGAAATTAAAACGGACGTGTGTTAATAGGGAAACAGCCGGCGAGCTGTTTGCGCATGCACCGTGAGCGGTTCTAGTTCTGTTTGGGCCGCAGCCGCCCGCAGCGCTACTTCAACAGTTATCCTCTGGCTTGCAGGCTAGCAGATTCTCGCACGAGGGGAAAATCGGCTCAGGTTGTTTACTTATTTTTTGCACAGCCATTTGTTTACTGTGAAGTAAAGTTGAAGTGCTGAAGTTTTGAAAACTAATTTTGAATAAAACTTGAAGAATAACTGGCAATTGCTTGCTCATTTTAACAGGTCTTTCATAATTATAACATGCTATTTGATATAATGGTTTACAAATACAAAAGGGTAATTTATTAGAGTACTCGATTAATCGAAAAAAATATTCGATAGAGTACTCGATTACAAAAATATTCGATAGCTGCAGCCCTAATATGAACCCAGGTAGCAGTTTCTCTTTAGGATTGAGAGGAGATGCAGGAAGATAATAAACAGGCAGGACAGAAAAATAGTCAAATAAAAACAAGTTAGTGTTTGTACCTGCTGGTTGCAACAAACAGACACCATTGAAGGTAATCAGAAGTGAGGAACAGAAAATGAAATAATTATTTTAATGTTTAGAGCAGCAGGAACTCTGAGAGGCTGCAGGCGCATCAGTGAGTTTGCAGCCGCTGCGAAGGGGGAGGGGGGAGTGGGCTGAAGCAGGGGAAGGGGGGGGAGGGCTGAAGCGGAGCAGTAAAGATGCAGAAACTACCGTTGTTAAGAGATGTGTAACTTAGAAAATGTGGGCGCAATTTTAATTGTCAAAAACTCCAGCGAACCAACCCGCTTCAGGTGTATGACGTCATCGACTAGTCAAAGTCGACTAGATCTTCATTACTTCACTGTCGACTTTTAAAAAAAATGATGTCATGCAGCCCCTACTAGGTACCAGGAATTGGTACCTCATCGATTCAAACGTGAAAGGTACCCATCCCTAGTGCACGGCCCGGTACAAAAACGGAGGTGATGTTGAACATCCCGCCCAGTTTTATGGCTGCTTGCAGCGAGGCAGCAGCCAGAAAGCTCTGGAGAAACCAGTGACTCCGCCCCTTAGCCAATCAGCCGCCGACAGTGATGATGCCTGCTTGACTCGGCGATTGGAACCACAACGGAGTAGGGAGTGAAAAGTAGAGGGTAGGGGGAACCAGCGAACCCTTGGGGGGTCATGCTGAGTAGTGCTGTTGGAGAAGGCCCTAGTGTCATTGACTAATCATCTTCATAGCTCTCATTGCTCTCTGTTGGTGCTGTTTGGTTTCCTCAGGTTTCTGTTTGAGCACCTGTCTGTGGATAATTGTCTGGGGATGTACTCTCTGGCTCGCTCTCATCATGACCAGCTCCTGCTCCGGGCCTCCCTGCGGCTCGTAGCTCAGCACTTTCCCCGCGTGGCTCGTCAGAAAGACTTCCTCCTGCTTGACCACGGCACTCTGGGCAGCCTCCTGAGCTCTGACCGTCTTGGAGTGGACTCTGAGGCTGAGGTCTATGATGCAGCACGCCGCTGGGCAGAGCACCAGCCTTTGGATCGCTACCCCCACATGCCAGCACTTCTCCATCATCTTCGCCCGGGGCTGTTGTCTCAGGAAGAGAGCCGAAGACTCAGCCAGGAGCTGGGACCTGCAGAAGCTGTGGAGGGCTTTGGAGGGCCTCTGAGACTACGGGAGGGGATGTTTGAGAAAAAGATCGTTTGTGTGGACCTGACGGCTCGGGAAGATGAGAATGTAGCCTCAAGGGACTTTACAGTGGACTGCTTTGATCCTCGGACAGGGAAGTGGGAGAAGCTGGCAGCCCTGAGCTCACTGGTGAGTCCAAGTTGCACGGCTGTGGGTGACCGGCTGTTTGTAGTGGGGGGGATCCTCCGGACCGGGTCGGTGTCTGCAGCTGTGCACGAGTACGATGTGGTTTTGGACCGGTGGATGGAGAGGCCTTCGATGGGACAGGCTCGAGCCATGCTGGGTCTGCTCGGCTGTGGAGACACTCTCTACGCCCTGGGCGGCTGCAACCGCTCGGCTCTGCTGGACTCCAGTGAGACGCTGGAGTTGACGACCCTCCGGTGGGGTCCCGGGCCTCGGCTGCCCCTCCCGCTACGTGCCTTTGCCTGTGCAGTTCTACGTGGACGACTCTATCTGCTGGGTGGAACCACTCTAGAACAGAACCGGGCCGTGGTCCACTCAGGTGTTCTCATATATCACACTCTGACAGACTGCTGGACGCGAGTGCCGCTGGACTCTGGTGCTACGTGTCTCGCTGGAGGCGTGGCAGTGCGGGGGGGAGTGTGTGCCATTGGGGGTTACATGAGGGACACTACCAAGTTCCTGGATGGAAACTACACCAACCTGGAGACTTTAGACGCCACTGGGCGTGTGCTGTTTTTCAGGGAGGGCAGGGGGTCGGGAGTAGAGAGGGAGATGAGCGGGGGAGGGGTGATGGTCGGCGCAGAGCAGCGGGGGGTCCCATGTGGTGGGAGCGATCGGGCCCTGAGTCCTGTCGTTTATCCCGGTTTGCCTCGGCGGATTGCAGCGGGGGGCGTGGCCAGGTGGAAAAGGAGGGTTTACGTATTGGGCGGCGAGAACGGATCCCGTTTTTATGACAGCGTGTACTGCTGGAAACCCGGCTGGCGCAGCTGGGTCCAGAGACGAGAGAAGCTCCCAGGAGACACTGGGGGGGTCAGCCAGTTTGGGTGCACCACACTTAAGTTCCCAAAGAAACACATCCTGTCCAGGCTGAGACTCGCCAAAGACAACTGCAAAAAGACTCTCTGACCAGCTCGTCGGAGCGGGTCGGTCTAGCTTTATACCGTTCGTGTGCAGCCACCAAACAAGCCTCAACCAGGCGGCATCATGGGTAATATTTCTACCGATGTTTGTAGATCGCCTTAATGCTGGGACTCTAAACCAGCATGCAGGCGAGACACAAGCTCACCGGCAAGGTGCCTCTCATACCACCCTTATGGAAATGATCCTGTTGGTCGGGGGGGGGGGGGATCTCGCAGCGGCCGCCCCCTGCTTGGGGATCCCCATCATACAGTCAAGCAGACTGCAGCAAAGCCCCGCCTCCCAGCCGCTCGGAGAACTTTATTCATTCGAATTTTCCAACAGCACCCCCAGCCCTGATTGGGACAGATGGAGATGTTCCAGGGCGGGTGTGCTGTCCCAGTCTGTCTCTGGTCTAAGGGCGTGTGTCTGTTCCTAACTGGGCACAGCCGTTAGAACGCTAGCTCACTCGCTTTGAACCCTACAGTTCTGCTGGAGAACGTTTCAACTGGACAATGTCCAAATTACTAATTCACCTGAAAGCGGCGGGTCAGCAAAACGCGAAAGAACAGAAATAAACAGGAAACCAGGCTGGTTACTGGAGAGGTTCAGGCCCATCTGGACTTATGAAAGCGTGGTTTCCAGTGTTAGCAGCCACGTTCAGACAGACCCGACTGCAGGCAGACCCGACCACAGGCAGACCCGACCGCAGGCAGACCCGACCGCAGGCAGACCCGACCGCAGACAGACCCGACCGCAGGCAGACCCGACCGCAGGCAGACCCGACCGCAGGCAGACCCGACCGCAGACAGACCCGACCGCAGACAGACCCGACCGCAGACAGACCCGACCGCAGGCAGACCCGACCGCAGGCAGACCCGACCGCAGGCAGACCCGACCGCAGGCAGACCCGACCGCAGGCAGACCCGACCGCAGGCAGACCCGACCGCAGGCAGACCCGACCGCAGGCAGACCCGGCCGCAGGCAGACCCGGCCGCAGGCAGACCCGGCCGCAGGCAGACCCGACCGCAGGCAGACGGATACAAAGTCCTACGCAGCTGCAACAGTAAGCATCATCAGTATGTTTCCTGTGCTGGGGCTTGGTCTGCTGTCCTTGTGTCTAACCGCTGCTTTGTCCTGCAGACGCCCTCCACCTGTCAGCCGGCCAGAGGTTTTACCACAGGACCGTGGATGTGTTTCACACAAGCTCACACCGTTGCACATAATTTATTTAAATGTATTTTTAGGTTTTCGCTGCTTTGAAATGGTGACGTGTACTCCGACTGTAGCAGAACATCCTGGAGGTAGGAAGGAGACGTTTGCTTCAAAATAAAAGCGCGTGACGCTGAAACACGTTTGGTTTGTCTCCTAACGCCTCGGTCCCGTTTCCTCTGAAACAACCGGAGTGGAGTCAGTTCTCCGAGCACGCCACGGTCTGGAATACCCAGACTTCCCAGCTCAAACCACAGCGTCTCTTCACATTAAAACACATCTTGTGGTTTAACAGCGCAGAGGACCGGTTAACGATGAAATCAACAGATGTGTGTTGTGTTCTCGCTCCTGGTGTTTGTGAAGATGAAAGCGTTGGTTGCTTCCTGCCTTTCTCACTGCCGTGGCACCAGCAGGGGCGAGCTAGCGTCACAACCAAACTACATTAACAGGATGCAGCAGGTAGCGGATCATGTTCTGGTCGTTTCTATCAACTCCAGGTCTGTGCCCGGTCCCCGGCGGTCTGACATGTAGAAGGAGACGGAGCACACGCGTGTTCCGTGTGCTGAATCTGTTCTGTTCACCTGAGCACACGTCTGTGGAACCTGTGAGCTTAAAATTAAAGGACTATTTTCTTTATCATCCCTGTTTCTGACTCCTTATTGAGCTGAACTTGATTTTATCTGAGAGAACCAGTCTGGTTCTGGTTCTGGTGTGCGACCGTTAATGTCAGGACGCAACAGCAGGCTCGTGAAGCGTTTAAACATGTTACAGGACACGGCAGGGATGTTGTTTTCCACTGGTTGTTAATAATTACTCTAATAAATAGTTGCTGATGCTGCTTCCTGTCACGGCTGACTGAAGGTCGTATGACTGCTTGGAGAACTGATCAGGCTTCAGGTCAGTCCGAGCCTGTTTCAGGTGGAACGGTTGAGCTGAAGAGATGGAGCCTGTTTCATCTCACCAGGTGACCATCAACAACCCCGCTGACATCACCGTCATCTGTGGGTATTTCCTTATGGTCATTGGTGTTGGCGTCTGGGTAAGTACTGCAGCGGTGCTGGACGTGTCTGATGAGGCGAAGGGAAACAGCTTTTCTCTCTTCTCCAGTCCATGTTTCGGACCAATCGTGGGACAGTTGGAGGATATTTCCTGGCAGGGCGATCCATGGCCTGGTGGTCGGTGAGCTACACGAACCCTCGTCCTCCTGATGGATTGTGTTTTGAAGGTTGATGACCCCTGATGAGTTTTTCAGCAGGATTGTGAAAAATAAAACATTTTGGTGTAATCAGTTCTCCATTAGTGGTTCTCAAACCTTTCAGCATCTGACCCATAAAATAATGGTTGTTGGTACCAGACAGACTGGTCTGAGCGTTGGAGAGTCTGCTGATCTACTGGGATTAGAACCCACAACCAAGGGATGGTCAGACTGGTTCCTACCAAGGTCTGCAGAAGCACACCAGCTGCTCCAGATGGACTCTGGCAGCAGAAGACCACACCAGGTGTCTCTCCCGCCAGCTAGGATCAGGAACCCGAGGCTACATTTCACACGGGACCACCAGAGCTGGACCAGAAGAGATCAGGCTGCTGCTGGTGATCTGGTCCAACTCTGGATCCCTTTATGAGCACACGGACCCATCTGCTGATGGCTACCTCCAGCAAGATCATACACCATATCACAGAGCTCAGATCGTAACTGGTGTCTTAGAGGATTACAGTACCTTGTTGGAGCTGTGACATGAAGGATTAAGGTTGTTCTGAAGGTCAAAGTAGGTCCACTAGTAGGGTGTATTGTGTGTGTGTGTGTGTGTCTTCACGGTGCATGGACGTAATTTTTTCGAGGGGACAGGGGGGACATGTCCCCCCCACTTTTTCCAAAGTCAAGTTTTGACCCCTGCACTTTTTACCATCCAAAATCAATATTACACTATAGTAAACTGACACTGGTTGAGCTCTAGGACCAAGCAGAAAACAACCATTTGTGTTGAAGCCTGTTTCCCATTAGAACATACTGTAAAGATACCCCTCCCCCCCACTTCTAAAGTGAAAATTACGTCCATGTCACGGTGTATCGGTTGTCTTTTACAGGTCGGTGCTTCCTTGTTTGCCAGTAACATTGGCAGTGGTCACTTTGTGGGTCTGGCAGGAACCGGGGCAGCAGCTGGCATCGCTGTAGGAGGGTTTGAGTGGAACGTACGTGGCTTCTTGTCTCACGTCACACTGGGGCTGAAGATGCTGAAATGTCGTAGGAAACTTGATCGATGCTTCTTCTAAAGGGCAAACTGGGTTCTGTTTGCTTCGACAGGCTCTGTTCATCGTGCTGCTGCTGGGTTGGTTGTTCGTACCCGTCTACCTCACCGCTGGGGTAAGAACCTCAGTTCACCTGTTACCTGTAACATCTGGAGGTGAGTTGATCGTTCTGTGACGGGATCATGTGCTGTCAGGTGATCACAATGCCACAGTACCTGAAGAAGAGGTTTGGTGGGTCCAGAATCAGCCTCTACCTGTCCGCTATCTCCCTGTTCCTGTACATTTTCACCAAGATCTCAGTGAGTCACCTTTCTGTGCAGGCTCAGTGAAAAGCAGCACGTTTGTTCTGTTACTAGCCTGCTTTTCTCTTCAGGTGGACATGTTTTCAGGAGCGGTGTTTATCCAGCAGGCGCTGGGCTGGAACATCTATGTGTCCGTCATCGCCCTCCTGCTCATCACAGCTCTGTACACAATCACAGGTATGAGTGCAGAGCCGCATGTCACCTGTAACGGTCTCTTACAGGTGCAGAGACATGAATAGTGGTACTGTTAGGTGTGATTAGTGTGTGTGTGTGTGTGTGTGTTACCAGGCGGGCTTGCGGCTCTCATGTACACAGACACATTTCAGACGCTGGTCATCATTGCCGGGGCTCTGGTGCTCTCGGGGTTCTGTGAGTACGACTCTTCCAGCGAACTCTTCGTAGGTTCTGCCCGTCCGGGTCGGTTCAGGATGGAGGTTATGATTTGATCTTTCTCTGTGATCATTAACGCCCTTCGGATGCAAGCGGTTTGCTGACACGGCAGACTCGCTGCACGGAGCTGAAACCAGAACAACCCTTTATTTGACTATTTTAGGATTTTTATTGAACAAAAGGAGAACGGACTGCTAGTGGCGTTTGCCCCTTACAGATGTGTTTTGTATCAACATCACATCTGTCCAGATGTGTGGTTTGATTGTGTTTTCTCTCTACTGACCCATCAGATAATAAAGTGTTCCTCCTCCTTTAGCCTTTGCCAAGGTCGGAGGCTACAGCGGTCTGCTCGCCAAGTACAGCTCTGCCATACCGACGAACTTCTCCTCCCTGGACCCGCAGAGCTACAACATCTCCTCCCACTGCTACACCCCCCGACAGGATGCCTTCTCCCTGCTGAGAGACCCCTCTAGAGGGGACCTTCCCTGGCCTGGGGTGGTGTTTGGGATGACGATTGGAGGGATTTGGTACTGGTGCTCAGATCAGGTGCCCGTTTTGAATCGCTGTCTGGTTAGGTGCTGGTGGGTGGTGTGGGGGTGTACGGGCAGCTTAAATAAAAGAAGTAGTTCAGTTGTGTCCAACCCTGGTCCTGGTTCCCCTGATCAGCACGGGCTTCATTTATTGAACTTGTTCACCACACCACACTGCAGCCTGAGAGAGGAGACCTCATGCAAAAAGCAATCCTGCTAACTTTGACCTGAGCTCTGAGTCTGAGATGGAGAAGATTGTCTTCTGTCCAAAATGTCCTCATGTGAATATTTTCCTTCTGTGGAGTGACAACCGCTCTGCCTGTGTTCAGCAGCCGCACCAGAGCCTCCATAAAGCTGTGTTTTTCCTGCAGGTGATTGTGCAGCGGTGCCTTGCAGCTCGTAGCATCACCCACGTGAAGGCTGGCTGCATCGTGTGCGGCTACCTCAAAGTGCTCCCAATGTTTCTTATGGTGTTCCCAGGAATGATCAGCAGGATCCTGTACCCAGGTGGGTCACACACTCCTACAACACAGAAGAACTAAAGAAATACAGACACGAGCGCCTGGTCGTCCCATTTGATGGAGTGCTTTGTGTTTCCATCCACCTCCAGATCAGGTTGGCTGTGTGGTCCCTGAGGACTGTAAACAGATCTGTGGGACGGAGGTGGGCTGCTCTAACATTGCTTACCCTAAGCTGGTGATGGAAGTCATGCCCAATGGTAAGAGCAACTAGTCCAGCAGTTAAATCACATTTTAGCTCACCTGTCTCGTCCTCCGTCCCGTCCAGGTCTGCGAGGCCTGATGCTGGCTGTGATGCTGGCGGCTCTCATGTCTTCCTTGGCCTCCATCTTTAACAGCAGCAGCACCTTGTTTACTATGGACATCTGGACCCGCATCAGACCACGGGCTGCTGAGCACGAGCTCATCGTCGTAGGCAGGTAAACAGGTGATACAACATACATCAGAGGGTTTTTTTATCGTCTTGAATTCTTTGTGATGCATCGTCATTCTGTGCACCAGCTTGTTCCTACTCGCTCTTCATGAGAACCATTGATAGTCCACCAATGGCGCCCACCTAGTCACATGTCAGATCCTTTTGCTCTTCTCTTTAGAGTCTGGGTTCTGTGTATCGTAGCTGTGAGTATCTGCTGGATCCCAGTAGTTCAGGCAGCTCAGAGCGGTCAGCTGTTTGACTACATCCAGTCAGTCTCCTGCTATCTGTCCCCCCCCATCGCCTCTGTCTTCCTGCTGGCTGTATTTGTCAAGAGAGTCAACGAAATGGTGAGGATGCATCAGCTCACACAGTATTACCTCACATCACAGCACTGCACTGCATCAGCAGCTACATCTGTCCATCACCCTTTGCTGCAGGGAGCTTTCTGGGGCCTGATCGGTGGTCTGATGATGGGTCTATGTCGGATGCTGCCTGAGTTTTGGTTTGGTACTGGGAGTTGTGTGTTCCCTTCTCAATGCCCTTTCCTGGTGTGTGGGATCCACTACTTGCACTTTGCCATCATACTCTTCTTCTGTACATCGGTGCTGGTTCTACTGGTCAGCTACTGCACCGAGCCCATAGACGATCAATATGTGAGTGCTAACACTAATGCACTGAGATTTAACACCCTAGATGATTTCTTTAAGGGAGCAAAGCTCTCCGAACCAGGCAGACCTTGTGTGATTGCCCTTCTTGTTGAATCACTGTGATTATTAACTAGTTTTTCACTAAAGAGTCCAGTTCCCAAGGGTGCCCCCAAGGGGTGGCCAGGGGTGGCTATGGCCCTCACTAGAAAAGAGCTGACCCCCCCCCCCCCCCAGGAAAAGTCAGTTTTAATAAATCACGTTCAGTCAAACCACATGTCGATCTTGTTTATTCAAGACATAATTGTAAAACAAAATACAATTAAATAAATAATCAGAATACATTTTCCGCTGCTCACCATTTGAAAAAAATTTGTGTTTCCATATATTTTGTAAACACAGCGGCAGGTGAATTATTTAAAAAAATAAAATTGTAAATTAAATTTGGAATAACATTTTAAATAATTGAAACATACTTTTCTGAAATGTCTGTGTAACACCCGCAGATATGCTCCCAAGATGTTACATAAAGTGAATCTGGCCAACAAGCATTAATGTGGGCAATGAAGCACAGAATCTGATCGCTTCAAAAAGAGATAATTTATTAAAAATAATTGCAAAAGATAAAAGTCCATTTAAAAGCTCAGTCTGAGCAGGTTGTGCCTACAAAACTGGGCAGGGAGACCAGTTAAAATCCAGGGGGAAGTTGAATTGTCTTCACCAAACCAACACGTATGAAGCCAGGTAGTGACGATGACTTGAGCTTCCCCCAATCGGCCCAGTGCCTCCAGCCGTCCGACTCAGGCCCTGTCCACACGTAGCCGGGGATCTGCCAAAATGTAGATATTTTTCTACGTTTTGGCCTGTCATCCACACGAAAACGGAGTTTTTTAAAAACTCCGGCCAAAGTGAAGATCTGCGTTTTCTCCGTTTTGGGTGTCTGCGTGTGGACGGACAAAACCGGACTTTTAAGGTCCGCAACGTCACTTTCCGCGACAAAAAAATGCTGACATCACGTGTGCGACCTGTGTTTACACTAGCCGACAGCATGGATGCCCTCAGAGCTGCGCTCGCTTTATCAATTGTCCAAGCGCTTTCTGCTTGTTTGTTTTTGCAAGCGGAATTACTGCTGCTTGCGGAAGACCACAGACGAAGGACGAGGTTAAGAACGGGGGAAGTACTGCCGCCTACAGGTCTGGCATGTCCTTAACAACGTATTTATCCGGGTACGTGTGGACAGAGTTTTTTTTTTAAACAAGGTGGTGTGGATGCAAGTTTTTGGAGGGGCAGATATTCGTTTAAAAAAAACCCCGGCTACGTGTGGACTAGGCCTCAGAGCTGGACAGGTGTTTGGTCCTTCTGATCAGTGACTCCTGGTCTCCCCTGTTTGGCACACCTGTGAGCTTCTGCCAGGATTTCTGCAAAGAGTTCAGCACAGCCACAATAGATCAGTAAAAGTTATTAAATACATTAAAACAAACTAACAAGAGGAGGCAGTTAAGAGACAGCAAGGTTCAACCGTGAGTCTTTACCTGCAAATAATTCAGCACAGCCACAACAGATGCAGAGCTTCTTCTTCTTCTTCTTCTTCTTCTTCTGTTGTTTAATTGGCAGGTGGCAACCAACTTTCAGGTGCATTTCCACCACCTACTGAATGGGAGTGTGAGTTGAAGTGGGGCGTATCCTACTAAAAAAAACAACTAAATTCTATTAAGTATTCCACTTTCCCTTAAAAAGTCTATGACTAACTTATAAACCACTATTCCCCCATTTAACAGAATATTCTAATCAAATTTCTTATATCCTTTAACTTTTAATTTTTCAACCAACATTTTCCTATTACCCGCATATTTTCTACAAGTACATAATACATGTTCTACTGTTTCCCCATCAAGTCCACAGTCACGCATACCGGTATTATGCCGTCCAAGAAAAAAACGCGTACTGTTCAAAGCTGTATGTCCCATTCTCATCCTTGTTATTACTTGATTTCTGTTACTCATTTGAATGACTTCCATTCTTCCAACCTTCCCCTTTAATTTGTATGAATGTCTTCCTTTCACATCCCTTATCCATTGTTCTTGCCATTCATCCAGAATCTGCCGTCTAATAACTGATTTCACCTCTGCAACACTACATGGAACCTCCATCACAGTATCCAGCTTCGTTGCCTGCTTTGCATAAAAATCAGCTATTTCATTACCCTCCACTCCACTGTGAGCTGGAACCCACATAAATCTAACCTCTGAATTATTCTGCATCAACCTAAACAAGCACTCGAATATCTCATACAAAATATCTGACCTCTTATCAGCTGACATTTCTTTAATTGACAACAATACAGACATGGAGTCTGAGCAAATAATACCTTTCCTAACACCATTTTGTTCTATCCACTGTAAACTAAATGAAATGTCCAACATTTCCACTGTATAAACTGACAGATTATTAGATGTTCGACTTTTATGATATTTACTAAATATGGAATCCAGAAAGAAAATCCCGTTAAGTTTCCTGACTCTCTCGACCCGTCCGTATATACAGGGATGAATGATCGATGAGTGTCATTTAATCTTTCTTCCACAACATCATCCCAGTTTCCCACACATTTCAGTATTTTAATTACATTTTGAATATGAAAATCTATCATTACTTTTGGAAATAACCAAAACGGAGTAGGCAAATATAAACATTTCTTAGGAACAACTTTATCATTTAATTTAAAGGCTTCCGCCAATCTACACGATTTCCAGACCATACTCTCATACTGTCCATGGAAATATTGCCCTCCTATTTTTATCTCTCCCTTAACCATGGTAATAATAATAATAATAACACTAGCCCAATAATTTAATTTCAGCAACTTGAATCTTAGAATCAATGGCATCTCTCCCATTTTCACTTGTAAGGACACCATCGGTGTGGTTTTCATTGCTCCACAAAAATTCTTAAAGCCTGACTTTGAATAACTTCAATCTTTTTCAGTAATGTTTTTCTTGCGGAACTACATACAATACTACCATAATCAATAACCGATCTGATCATTGCTATATATATATATATATATATACCTGTTTTAAAGCCTTGGTACTAGCCCCCCAATCATTACCCCTTAAACCCCTCATAATATTTATTACCTTTTTACATCTTTCAACTATGTTATTAATATTCTCCTTCCAAATCAACCTTTCATCAAATATAACACCCAAATATTTAGTTTAGTTTATTTCAAACAATGAAAAGATACATAATTAAAAAAAAAAAAAAACACAAACAGAAAAAATACATATCATCATCCCTTTTTTTCTTCTTCTCTGTCTGAAAAGGAGTAGGCTGAAGTCGAAACTCATATGTCCCTACCCCTTTATACAAGTAATTTTTACTTGTTTACTAAATGCAACACAAAACCTACATTAAAACAAACAAACTGGTACAAGTCACCAAAAACCACCAAACCATATGGAAAAAAACACAAAAAAAGAAAAAAAAACATGTTTTTACAATTGATGCTCATATTTACTTTTCCTTAGAACAAAAGACAACCACATAAATCATCTATTTTCCACTATATACTTGTTCAGAATATGTTTTTTATAATTCATTTTAAACACATTTATATTTGTACTTACTTTGATTTCTTCTTCTAAATCGTTCCACAATTTAACCCCTATTATTGTGATACACATCTGTTTTAATGTTGTTCTAAACTTATGTATCTTTAAGTTCAGTGCCCCTCTCAGGTTATATCCTCCTTCTCTCTCTGTGAACAGTTTCTGTATTTTATCAGGCATTAATTTATTTCTTACTTTATACATTATTTGTGCTGTTTTGTATTTAGCCAAGTCCTGGAACTTCATTGTCCGCGTTTTAATAAAAAGTTCATTTGAGTGATCCAAATATCCTGCATTTGTTATTAACCTGATAGCCCTTTTCTGGATTTGTCGTTATTGTTTGTAAATGACTTTTGTACGTGTTTCCCCAGACCTCTACACAATAGCTCAAATATGGCAGTAGCATCGTATTGTATAATATATAAAGTGCTTTCTGATTAAATATATATTTAGCTTTCCCCAATATAGCAATGCCCCGTGCAAGCTTCCCCCTAACATATTTGATGTGTGGCTTCCAACAGATCCTGCTGTCTATGACCACCCCAAGAAATTTTATTTCATATACTCTCTCAATTTTTACATTATTAATTACTATATCTAATTCATTGTATCTACTTTCATTACCAAACAACATACATTTTGTTTTCTCTAAATTTAGTGACAGTTTATTTACATCAAACCATTTTTTGAATTTATTTATTTCCTGTGTGACCATATCCAGGACCTGTTGCAATTCCACACCCGAGCAAAAAACATTTGTGTCATCTGCAAACAATACAAACTTCAATACTTGTGAAACCCTACAGATGTCATTTATGTACATTATGAATAGTTTAGGTCCTAAGACCGATCCTTGAGGTACCCCACATTGTATCTCTCTTAGTCCTGATTTATGTTGATTTATTTGCACATATTTTTGTCTATTTGACAAATAACTTTTTATCCAGTCCCATACTATACCCCTGAAACCATATTTTCCCATTTTTCTCATCAATACGTCATGGTTTACTGTATCGAACGCTTTCTTCAGATCTAAAAACAACCCTATTGCATGCTTCTTTTTGTCAATGCATTCTGTTATTTCCTCAATAAGATCATCCAGTGCCTTATATATCTAAAACTATGAACTTGCTCCAAAGGTTCCCTATATAATTTAAGCTCAATTTTAACATTTCTTTTCTTTGTAAAGACCATACTTTTTGTTTTGTCCACCGAAAACTTAAATCCCCATTCAAAAGACCAATTCTCCACTTTTATTATTGCTTCCTGAATTTTCTTCTGCAAGTATTGAATGTTCCTTCCCCTTTTCCATAATATTCCATCATCTGCAAACAATGCTTTCCCAACATCATATCCTATCTCTTCAAACGCATCATTGATCATATTAGAAAATAGAACAGGACTGATCATACTTCCCTGTGGCATCCCATTGTCAACTCTATAACCCTCTGACAATCTATCACCTATTTTTATCTGAATGTATTAAACAAAAAGTCCTTAATCCAATCATATGTTCTTCCCTCTATCCCCAACCTTTTTCCTTCCACGCCATGTCATATGCTTTCTCAACATCAAAATAAATTATAACTAAACTCTCTTTATTGTTTTGTGCTTTCCTAATGTCATTTTCCAAACTCACCATGGCGTCCATCGTTCCTCTACCAGTTCTAAACCCATTTTGATATTTCATTAACAAATTCCTACTTTCTAAATAATAATTTAACCCATCCGTAATCATTCTTTCCATTACTTTACCTATATGAGATGTTAAAGCTATCGGCCTATAGTTCTCCGGAATACTTGGATCTTTCCCAGGTTTAATTATCGGAATTACCACTGCCTCTTTCCAATTTTTTGGTAATTTTCCTTTTACCCAGACCTTATTATATAACTCCAACAGTCTTCCCTTCATCTTATCCCCTAAATGTTTAAGCATCTCATAATTAATATCATCCTTACCAGATGACGTCACTTTAGTTCTCCCCATCGCTCGCTCTATTTCAAAAACTGTAAATGAAGCGTCAATTGTCGTCAGTCTCCGCCCACCATCATCTTCAACAATATTAGTCCTTCTGGTTTCTTCTCTTCTTCTCCGTCTATCTTCCGACAAATTATCATCAATATTAATTTTTATAAAGGTTTTAGCCAACATTTCAGCTTTCTCTTCATTGCTAATAGCAACCTCGACACCTACCTTGAGAACTGCGTACCTAAACTCTCTATAAACTCCCTTCGTTTTCCTCATCATACCCCAAACGTCACCTACAGACGTAGTTCTTCCTATTTTATCACAAAACCCTCTCCAATTTTCCCTTTTCGCTCTCTTAACTACTCTTCTTGCTTCAGCCTGTAATCTTGTATATTTCAACAAACTGTCAAAATTATGAGACTTTCTCAAAACTTTCATACTTTTATTTCCCTCTTTAATTGCCTTTTCACATTGTTCATTCCACCATGGAACATTGTTCTTCTTCATGGTCCCTTTACTTTTAGGAATAGTAACGTCCGCCGCTTCAATTATCACTCTCCTAAAAATTTGTTCCACTATGTCTATATCCTCTTCCATATCAATCCTTCCATTCTCTTCTTCACACACAATTCTAAATTTATCCCAATCTGCTGTTTTAAATACCCAACGACCAACACTTGTCCAGATATACTTCCTTACTCCTATAAAGTTTTGTAAAACTTATATAATGATCACTTCCCAGATTACGTTCCCAACCTTCCCAATTACAGTTTCCCGCTAAGGGCATTCGACACTATTGTTAGATCTATAGCCGAGGTTTTACCCGTAGTCACGTTCATCCTTGTCCCTCTACCATCATTTAAACAGACTAAATTCAATATCATCCATGAACTCTTCAATGGTTTCCCCATTCTGATCCTCCTTAATTCCTCCCCACAAAGAACTATGAGAATTAAAATCCCCACACATTACCACCTGATCATAATTCCCTTCCAGAATTAATTTAAGCTTAATATCTAAATTTTTGCAAGGATTATAATAATTGACTATATTCAACTTCTTCTTATTTACATACAATACTATTCCTATATATTCTTCATCAGTTCCTATTTTAATTATTCTATAATTCAGATTAACATGAATAGAAGTAGCACAACCTCCTCCAATACCATCTTCCCGATCACATGTACGGATATAATTTAAATTCAAATTTTTTATTCAACCAAGTTTCTTGAATACAAATAATATCTGGTTTCTCCAACAATTCATCAATATGTCTTTTAAATTCTTGTCCGTTAGCAATCAAACTCCTAGCATTCCATTGTAAAATCCCAACCATTCACTATCCCAACCCCTCTTGACTGGAACTCGCACCAAGGTTGTTCCTGACCTCCTCCCAAGACAACTCAGCAACGTCCGTTTCTGTTGTGTCCTTGGGCATCACCACCAGCAGGTGAATGACTGCAGAGGAAAGCGCTTTAGAGTCCCTGATTTAGAAAAACGCCACATACCTTGGTTCTAGACAAGAATCACACATAGAATGTTTTCCCTAATTTTATCATTTAATGTTTTATTTTCTTCTGAACTTTTAACTTCAATATTCTTCATGATCAGTGTGTGTGTGTGTGTGCACATGGGGGAATGACTGGCTGTGCCGTAAAGCACTTTGGGGGGTTGTAGAACCTTTGGAAGCATCATATACAGACCACGTACCATTTTGCTTTAAGCTCCATCGTCTGGTGTTCAGTCTTCGTCATTCCAAAGAGGAGCGGAAAGATCTGAACTGGGAGCAAGAAGAAAAGGAAAGAAGAGCTTACAAAAACACTCAAGAGACGAGGGAGAATGACGACGCGGTCATAGGTAAGAAAGGAAATGTCAGATTTAACTATTAGCTCAGGACTCAAAATCTGTCTCTTAGAAGCCAAAGACGACCCTTCTGGTTTCTGCGACCTGGTTACTGGTTTTTGCAACCTGACTGGCAACTCCCAGGCTCCAGACGAGGCTGAAACCGTGGAGCCCAAGATGCCCGACATCACCGAGGACCCAGTGTGGAAGCACGCAGTGGACGCCAACGCCCTGGTCATGATGACTGTAGCGGTCTTCATGTGGGGATACTTTGCTTGACTTAGTCTTTTATCAGAAAAAACATTGAAACAGTTGTTTTGTTGAAACGCTGGTCTTTCGTTATTTAAAAGTAATTACACCTGCCGGCCAAATTATGGAGCGTTTCAAAATAAAGCAAATCTGAAGTGAGGCTCTCGCTCTTGTATCTCAGTCTGAAACTGTTATTAAATTGTTCCAACTGCAGATTTATTCATTTTTAAGAGTTGTGAAAAGATGAGATTGAGTTTAAACTGGTCAAATTGGTTTAAAGTTGTTCAAACATGGAGGTAGAGCTGCTACTTCCTACTGTCACTGGATCAGTCACCACACAGACCAGGAAGTCATTAAAATTTCCAGTTTTAATAATGTCTTCTGTTTTTATTTAAGCATGTATTTCCCATTACACATCTGCAACCTACAGAGCTCTCCCATGACTGCCCAACTGTCTTCTCTACATGCAGTTTCATCATCAGTTCTTCAATGTTCCATCCATCAGCTTGAGGAGGTGGGGTGGGGGTGTCTTGGAGTTTTAAAGCAAGGAATAGGGGGTGGGGGTCCCCCTACCTCTGAAGCCAGAGCCATCACCAGGCATTGCAAACTCACTTGACATTTTGAATGGACCCAGTAGAGCTAAGGAGTGTAGCATTTGAAAACAAGCCCCTAACAGGTTCCTGTGCAACTCTCAATACTTTAGATCTGTGAGGTATCCAACGCCTCGGACTCCTGCAGGGTGGGTAAGAAGAGGTAGGGAGCTTTTAAGGCTGGAAGCTGGTGTAGTTTGTTGGTAGCGGTAGATGTTCTCACCCACTTCAAAGCATGGAGAACAGCTTTGGGCAAACGCTGCCTGCTGCTGCGTGAAGGATGACGGTGGAGGGAGGAGAAAGTGTTGGGTTAAAACAATGATGGAGCATTAAAAAATACATCTTTACCAGTTCAGTAGGCGACAGACTGAAACAAGAGAACACAGTCCTCAAGATTAAAACCAAACAGCAAACATTCTGACAACCAAATAAAAACAAAAACAATGGAAAACAAGCAAATCAAACCATACAAAGTGACATCAAGTTTCTCCCATTAAAACCATCTCTCATAAGTCTCTGTAAACCAGAAGGTAGTCTGTGGCTGGTCAGCAAGGTTAGGGTCCACTCACACACGGACAGCCCGTTTCAGAATAATCAGTGATAAGCAACGATTTCAGCAGCATCATCAGGGGACTGACAACTTTACAGCACATTCAGAAAAGAACACACGGTGCAGGACAGGTACAGATGGCATCTTGTACGATGAAGAAAAATAAAATCAAGCTTGCTTTATACAATCACATTTCTGTAGCTAAACATTCCACCACTGAACTGGGCTCTAGACAGCACCACAGTACAGCCAATGTGGTGGTCAGGCATGGGGACAACATAAAACACACGTGTTGAGACCGGTAAGCAGGCTTTACATTTCTATACGTCACTTTATGAATGCTAATCTCAATCCAAACACTGCAACGTGTCCACATGAACCTTCTGTAATATCCACGTGCGTACGTGCACAGAAAGCTGCAGGAGAGGACCCCAACCCAACTAACTGTAGCCACACAGAATGGGACAGATTCCAGAGGACCTGGAAAGAAAAAAGGCAAGGAGTGCGAAACGTCTCTTCCTTCTTAGCATCTCAGCACCCCTTCGCTGAGGGTTAGTATGAGAAAGAAGAGTAGAAGGAAACAAGTCCTGGAGAGCCGACTCCACCTTCAACTTCTCTCTCGTCCCCTGTTCAAGGGACGAGAGAGGGAGGGAGGGAGGGAGGGAGGAAGTCTGCTTTATGAGATGAGTTGCATCTATGTGGTGGACTTGTCCTCTCTACCTAGCCTCCTCCCTCTTCGTGCGGATGGACTGACAGCCATCAGCAGGATGCTGGACCCAGTTATTGTCGTGGAGTCCAACACGACAGCCTGGGGTGTCTTTGTCTGTACGCCGGCAGCACATCCAGTAGGAGCGTCCATAAGGCAGGTCGTGGTGGTAAGGTTTGGGGTGCCAACGGCACAAAGACACATCCCCGCGCTCATACTGGCGCTTACATTGTTTGCAGGGGTCGTCCCTGTAGAGAGGGTCTTGGTTCCAGCGTGAATCCACAGCACGCACCCCATACGTTTCAATCAACGCCTTGAAGTAGTGACACGTGCACTTAAGGGCTGCCAGGGAGCGCGTTGGCAGGTAGCTGAAGATGTTGACCATGATGTGGTCAGGAAGCAATAGCATGTACTGTCGGGGCTCGAGGAGTCGCTGAATCTGGAAGCGGATCTCCAGGAAGTCATGGGACACGTGGCGGTAGAGACGACAGAGCGAAGGGTCTGAGCAGTCCTCCCCAACACTAGGAGAGTCTGGTCGTGTTGCCCGCTCTCCTGGGCCCACCGTCACCCCTGACCCCGGACTGTTATTGTTGGCACAGTCCAAAGAGCACATTCCTGAACCACTGCCAGGGGTCTTTGCTTTTCCATCCTCCTCTGGCCCCCTAGGGGACTGAAGGAAAAAGAGCTGTCCGGGAGGTGGATCATCTGATGAGGCGTCAGTTGAGCTCCCAATACCTCCACCTCCTCCACCCCCAGGCATTGCAAAACATACAGTCTCCTCCTGCACATTCTCTGTGCTGTCCTTTCCATAAAACACACACTGGTCCACAGCACCGGTCACTACCACCTCCACATGAAAACCGGTCACTCGTTCCCTACCCACACCCTTTTTCTCCCCTGAAGACAGCTCTTGGGTTGGGTCCGGGCTGCCGCAAGTCGCCCTGTCTTGGTGAACAAGGTCTCCATCTGGTTTGGGGGCAGATGTTGTCGCAGCAAGCAGCAAACTACTAGGATCTCTTGATGAAGGACTGATGAGCTGGTACAGATCACAGGTGATTTTCTCTTTGGCCCGGGCTGCTGCCTGATTACTCCCACCACCACAACTCATAAACATACAGCGAGACCGGCCAGCTGGTTCCAGCTGAGCACGTGGGTCCAGGTTTGACACTCTGAAAGCAATCCTAACCTCACCGTGACTGTGACTGGATGATGGAGGTGGTGTTACAGTGTCTCCTCTCCTACTTTCCCTCTCTCTGTCCTGATTAGAAGCATGTAGTCCAGAACCAGGACCTAGATGGAGCCGATTCTCCAGGTTTTGGGACTCAAAGTGCGCAATAGCCTGCGCTACCCTCAAGGACTCCTGCTGCTCCTCGAACTCCTGGTCTGTTTGGATCAGAGACGATGGCTTCTCTGCTGCTTTAGAGGGCTGTCCATTTGAACTGTTCGACACAAACACCATAGGAGAGGGGTCTGACGCTGTGCCTCGGAGCAGAATGCGCTGGCTGGAGGTAAGGCCCTGGCTATGAGTGATAGCACTGGGTTGGTGGATGTTGTGCTGTTGCTGCTGGTTCCCATGAACAGCCACAATCCCCTGAAGGGCCATGGCGGTCCTCTGTTCAACCAAGGCAACCATTTCTGCCACTGAAAGCAAATCGGTTTCACTGACACCTCCTGGCTGTGGCTCATCAGGGCTAGGCAGTGCAATTGAGCCGTCATGGGTGAGAGCATGGGGGCGTGTTGGGGGGTCATAGGAGGAGCATCGTCTTCGTCTTTTGGCTTTACTGCAGTCTGTTGCCCAGTTGCCTTTAACCTGGAGAACACAGAAACAAATCTTTAAATAAAGTACAGGAAGATGGTGGCATTTCTTCACGTTAGCTTCTCACCTTCATGGCACTTGGTCTGGGCTGGCCTGCTCCACTGAACTGGTGTGCAACAAAGAAGGCGATTTTCTCCTTGGTGTTACCTGGCTTTATAACATACCAGGTGTCTAACAGTACCCGCCCATCTTGCATCTGGGGCCCAGAATTTGGTGGTGAAGGAGAGGTTGTGGGAGGCTGAGGGGTCTGGCTCTGTGTCATGGAGCTGGTTTCAAGCTCAGGTTCAGGTGGAGTGTTCTCTGAGCCCACATCCTCCTCTCCTCCACTTCCCTCCTGCACACCAACTATCATTCCTACATCTCCACTTTCTCCTGCCACTCTTCTGGCACCTTGACCAAGCTCAGATTTGTAGACCGAGGTGGACCCTGCTCCACTGGTTCCTCCACTGCTGCCACTTGACCCTGGACTCCGACCTTTGTTCTGAGAGTAGGTGCCAAAAGGGCGTGGGCACCACAGCCGGATGTGGGAGAATGCGTCACGGTCCATCAGGATGAGGACCACCGTGGCATGTCTGCATCTACGCTGGCCAATAAATCCCAAGAGCGCTCATTGTTGGCTGGCTGTTCCAGCACCCAACCGACTGGCGGTGATACAAAACATAAAACCTGCACGAAGAGTAGAAGCAAAACCAGGATGTTAAAATTAGGTTCACATCTGTAAAGTCAAGTTCACCAGTGCTGGGGTCAATTTACTTAATAGCTAACTGAACAGTTGCCTTGAGGTCTTCACTCCGCTGTTAGCATCTAAACTCACAACCAGCAGCAGCAACATACCCTTATAGCAACCAATCACAAACGGCCTGCTTCAGACTGAGGCCAAACCTAATTAGCAGCAACATTTGCTTCTCCATGTCAAGACCATCTCTCCCACTTTGAGGCCTCTAAATCACATTAAAAGGGATTACATTTCAGGTCTGAGGTCTGTGGGCATCAGATGAAAGAGATGAGAGATGCAGAACCAAAGGGACGGTCGTTTTTGTGTCTCGGCTTTCAAACGGGACTATACTTAATAGGAGGCAATGTAGGGAGGAGCATGCAGGCGTATGCCGTACCTATTTTTAGTCAACGGCAGCAGGGGATTGGCTAGAAGTGAAATTGTTGCCATCCTCCACGTCCGTACCCCTTTCTCCCTGCTAAAGTGCATAAACTACAGAACCGGGAGGGGAAGTCTTTCATCCACCCAGCATGTTTTGTTTCTGTTGCTAGGTCAGCTGTAGGGAACGCCAGAACCCCCCCCCCCCCCCCACCACCACCACCCCAAACCTAACAAAACTGGTGTCAAATGTTTGTGCAGCAAAACAAAATATTTTGCTGCTTTCATTAAAAAGATGTAGTGTTTCCCCTAGGAATTTTTCCAGCTGGGGGGGGGGGGATTATGACACGTCTCACCTTTATGTTAATATTGTTTTATTTGATGCACTCCACTTTGAACTGCACCAATCCAGCAACTGCTGCATTTTATTAACTAGTATTAAAGGTGCATACACCAATATTTGCACAAGAATAATTTTTGTTTTAAACACTCAGTGACACACACTGCAGGGGGGGGTTGGTATTTAATTTTTCTTGGCGTGTGGAAAAACATCTCCTTCTGCTCCCCTTTATTTTGGTCCAAGATCATTACTGGGCTGGCCCTATTAAACACCTTCTACACCCCTGCTTAGTAGACTTAATGACGTATTTTTAAGCCAGTATAAAAATGACTGAAACACAAATTTACATATTTGGCATTACTGACCAATATCTTTGATTTAATTTATTTTTTAAGAACATCAAGATGCATTAGAACATTATAATAAAGTACATTTTTCTAGTGCAGAGAGGAGACAACCCATAGAAGCACTGATTTAATCTCATTTCAGAGAAAAATAGAACAGGTCAGATGCACCTAATAAATAAAATTACTAACATAAACTCAGGAATCTGTTTCTTTGCTTCATTGTTCTGGTGCTGAAAATATCAATAATGCGGATCAAAGGAGATACACAGATGAATGCACCTCTTATTTTTTTATTACACACATAGCAACTTCTGATCAATCCATATCAATTTCAGATTTAAAATAATGTATTGATGTAAACCACACCCACTAATGTCCAAATAATAAATATGGGTTGGGGCATAAAACAGACCCGCCATGTTCCCGGATCCTGAGGCATGCGGGAGCCACTGAGAGGGCGGTTAGGTCGCTCACTCTCTTGACTGATGCCAGCGCCAGCAGCAAGGCAGTTTTGAGTGACAGGAACTTGAGTGAGACCTGGTCCAAGAGTTCAAATGTGGCTTCAGATAAGCCGCGCAGAACCACCGTTAGGTCCCACTGGGGAAATAGCGGGCAGGACACAGGTCTGTTCCTCCTGACACCTTTTAGAAAAGGTTTTGTGAGGGGATGATTGAAAACAGATCTATCTCCAAAACCCTGGTGACAGGATGAGATAGCTGCAGCATATGTTTTAATAGTGCTGAATGTGAGGCTCCTGTCCATCAGCATCTGCAGAAACGATAGGACATCCGCCAGCTGGCAGGAGAGCGCTTGAACATTTCACTCTGTGCACCATTTCTGGAAAGCTGCCCATTTAGCAGCATAAGATGCAACGGTAGAGGGCGCCCGCGCACTCTGAATCGTGGCGACCGCATCATGTGGCAGCCCAGAAGCCTCTAAGCGTGATCGCTCAGCGGCCAGACCCACAGCCGTTGGCCTATTTCGGGAAGATGTTTGATTATCCCATCCGCCTGGAGTAGGGCGTCCGCCCTCCACGGAAGCCTCCACGTGGAGCCGGACACTAGCGCTTGCATGTCTGGAAACCATGACACGGACAAGCGTCTGGGAGCCACCAGAATTACCGAGAGCTGCTCCGACCGAACTCGGTCCAGGAGACGGGGAGTCAGTGGGAGTGGCGGAAACGCATATAGGAGCATTTGAGGCCAGGGCTGGTGTGAGAAGGCGTCCGCTCCGAGCAGGGGGTGGTCCCCGGGACTCAGGTAAAACCACAGGCGACACCGAGCATTTTCGCGAGCTGCGAACAGATCCACAGATGGTTCCACGAACCTGATCCAGATCTGTGATATCAGTGCGGGATGCAGACACCAGTCGGAGTCGCGGGGTCCCCCTCTCGACAGGATGTCTGCTGCTACATTCAGTACCCCCGGAATGTAGGTGGCTTTGATGGACAGCAGGTGGACATGTGCCCAACACAGTAAATCTGTGGCGACACGCAATAGTGGGAGGGATCAAACTCCCCCTTGGCGATTTATGTAGGCTGCCGCCACCTGGTTGTCTGTGTGAACTTCGACATGACGGCCCTGGAGAAGGGCAGCGAAGTGTCTGATCACATTCTTCACTGTCATAAGCTCCAACACATTTATGTGCTCGTGCGTGTGGGAGGGCCAGCGATCTGCCACCGTATGGGACAAGTACGTGACCCCCATCCCAACAGTGACGCATCCGTAAACACAGATATGTGTGACGTAGGACGTCTGATGGGGACCCCGTGTGAGAGGATGCAGGGAGCTCTTCTCCCAGTTTATGGAAAACCCCAGGGTTGACAGATGCTCTGTTAACTTCCTGGTTTGCTCTGGCGCCTCGTCCTTGGACCGGGCGCATAGGAGCAGATCGTCCAGGTAAAATAAAACCCTCATTACCGCCATGTGCAGTGGCTGCAGTGCGGTCTCCAGACATTTGGGGAAGGTGCGCGGGGCTAGCGAGTAGCCGAAAGGGAGACGATTGAACTGGTATTGAACTCCCTTGAATGAAAAGCGCAGGAACTTCCGGTGCTTGGGAATTACTGGGATATGGAAGTATGCATCTTTCAGGTCTATTGACGTGAACCAATCCCCGGAGCGCACGTATTCCAGGACTTGCCTCATTGTTAACATGCGGAAATGCATCACTGCTATGGAGCAGTTGAACAGGGAAAGGTCGAAAATTGGTCTCATTCCTCCCGACTTCTTCGGTACTACGAAGTAGCGGGAGTAGAAGCCTGAGAGCTCTTGTCCGCGAGGGACTTGGGAAATTGCGTCCTTGGACAGAAGTTCCCGCAACTCCAGCTTCAGGGGCTGAGATTGTTCCTGTGACGTGAACGTCGTCTCCACGATCCCGTTGAAGGGAGAAGGAGCGGACTGAAAATGGAGTGTGTGACCGCAATGAATGGTCTCCGATATCCATTTGCTCATGAGACAAAGGCGGCGCCACTCGTGCGCGCGTTCCGACAGCGGACGCGTGTTCAAAGTCACATGAACAATGTCTGAGGACTGGGTTCGCGCCCTTACCGCCGTCGCTCGCACCAGAGAACTGGGAGCGACCCATGGAGGGCTGCGCTTGAAAGGGCGAGTGTGGAACAGCTGGAAGAGGCTGATCCGCACCGCGGAGCGTGGAGTCCAAGGATGAAGGACGAGTGGGAGCCGGGCCCGTGCACAGGGACAGCCAAGTGCCAGTGGATGGAGCCGCACACTGTGTCGCCGTGCGTGGTCGCAACAGCGCCATGACATCCCGTCCCACCCAACGTTGTGGGGGAAGCAGAATGAGTTGGGCCTGGCCGGAGGCTAGGGCCGGTGTGCAAATAGAGCGCACCCTTACAGCTGGCCATGTAATATGACTGACTGCGTGAACATGCAGATGTGCCGCAGTGCTTGGTGTGGGGAACATGTGTGAGGATCCAGCAGAGGACTGTAGGATTGTGCTCTCTAAGTGACGTTTTTTGGGTTTTATTTCAAAACCAACATAATTAACATTACAGTCATAAGCACCCCCCCCCCCCCCCCCCCCCCCAAAGTCATTTTCGTGGTTGCTTTCGGCGAGGTTCCTGCGCCTGTGACTGCCAAGACTGTGTCTGCTGGCTCTTTCGGAACCGTTGGCCGCCAACTCTCTGGTCCCACTGAGGTGGAGCTGAAGCGGGAGGCCGGCTCCGTGGGGCGGGCGGTGCAGCTGGGCGCCTGAAGTTTCCACCCCATTTGTCCCATCCTCTGGAGGAACGGCCGGAGTGCGAGGCTGACCGAGGGTGGACCAGGTCTCGCACCGCAGCTGACAGTTCAGCTGTCTTCTGAGCCCTCTCGATTACGCTCCTAAGATGGGGACCAAACAGAACGTCAGAGGTGATGGGGCCTTCCAGCATCTCCCTGTGTAGGTGTTCAGGAATGGAGGGCAGGGTCTTGAGCCACAGGGCCCGCTGAATAAGGGTCTGACAGGCAGCAGTGCGAGCAGAACCGGTGAGCACAGCAGCGCACAGCGAAATGGTTCTTGGCGCCAAACAGCAAGGCCAAGTCCGGCTCCAGTGGAGGAACGGATGGCCAGCCTTGGTCGGAGAAGCCCTTGACCTTGGTAATGGGCGCATATGTGGAAACTGGCGCCTTGAGCTTGGCAGGCTCGGAGAAGGCGGCGGACCAGCAGCTCATAGCAGCGGGGAAGCGCGACCAGATGGGGTCTGGACAGCGCGTCTGTGTAGCCCCGAAAATTCCCGCCAAATCATCCACTTCAGGCGGAGTCGGTTCTGGCACGGCTAGCCCCTTGCGGACTGCAGCCGCGGAGATGATGGCGGGCAGCTCCTGGAGCAGTGCTCTTACTGCTGGCAGGGAGGAGCGAGAAGCCACTGGGGGCAGAAGGACCCGCTGAG